CAGGTGGATCACCTGAGGTCAGGAGTTCGAGAGCAGCCCGGCCAATGTGCCGAAACCCCATCTATACTGAAAATACAAAAATTAGTTGGGCATGGTGGTGTGTACCTGTAATCCCAGCTACTGGGGGGCTGAGGCGGGAGAATTGCTTGAACCCGGGAAGAGGAGGTTACAGTGAGTTGAGATTACGCCACTGCACTCCAGCCTGGGTGACAGAGCAAGACTCTGTCTCAAAAAGAAGTCTTAAAATTATTTTTGATGCTCATTGAATATCTGGGTCAGTTCCAATTAAAAAACGGTTGTCAGATGGGGAAATATGTTTCTAAAAATTGTGGAATTGTTCTTATCTATAATGCTTTTATCTGATGCTTCAGGATTTCTTGCTTTTTAGGGTTTCACTAAAGTTTTAGGTTACTAAGGATAAGAATTCTAGTTAACGCGTGATTCTGTATATGAAATGTGCCAGAAAGTGTTGTGTGATTAGTGAGAAAAAATAATTATGTCCAATTCAGAAGCTATCTAAAAGTTAGTTCAAATTACAGATTTGAAAAGGTTGTTTATGAAACAATGTAGTAAGGAACCGGTAGGGAGGGGGAGAAAGACGTGGAAAAGTTTAGATAATAAAATATATTCCTTAAAACCTGATAGAGAACTGGAGAAATTTGGCTAATTAACATTTTCATAGTTAAAGTTCTTAGTCTTGATTAAAGTAAAAATAAGTATTGTAAGAAAATTTGTCGGCAGTTTGCCACTTTTTTTAATATACAGTTAAGCATGAAGCAGGATTTAGTGTGGAGCCAAATTTCACATATGTGCTTGCATTCCTTCACACCATGTTTCCTGTTTTGCATGGATAGTGCCGGCACTGGAGTACTTATTGGTCATTTGCCTAGAGTCAATTTCTTTTTTTTTTTTTAAAAAACAGTTCTTTAAAAGCCAACTTTATTGAGGAATAATTTACAGCCAAATGTACGTGTTTTATATGCACAGTTAAATGATTTTTTTTTTTTTTTTTTGAGATGGAGTCTAACTCTGTCGCCCAGGCTGGAGTGTAGTGACGTGATCTCGGCTCACTGCAACCTCCGCCTCCTGGGTTCAAGCGATTCTCCTGCTCAGCCTCCCGAGTAGCTGGGATTATAGGTGCATGCCACCGCGCCCGGCTAATTTTTGTAATTTTAGTAGAGACGGCGTTTCACCATATTGGTCAGGCTGGTCTCAAACTCCTGACCTCAAGTGATCCACCTGCCTCGGCCTCCCAAAGTGCTGGGATTACAGGTGGGAGTCACCGCACTCAGCAGATAAATGAGTATTTTCAAAAGGAGGTATAATTTACATACAGTAAAGTTTACCCTTTTTTTTGGTGCCAGGGGAGGGCAGGATCTCACTGTGTCACCCAGGCTGGAGTTCAGTGGCGTGATCATAGCTTACTGCAGCCTAGTCTTCCTGGCTCAAGTGATTCTCCCACCTCAGCCTCCCAAGTAGCTGGGACTGTAGGCGTGTGCCACCAAGGCCTGCTAATTTTTGATTTTTTTTTTGTATAGATGAGCTCTTTCTATGTTGCCCAGGCTCATCTTGAAATCCTGGGCTCAAGCAATCCTCTGCCTTGCCCTCCCAAAGTGCTGGGTTTACACGCGTGAACCACTGTACCAGGCCAAGTTCACCTTTTAAAATTATGTAGTTTGATGGTTTTAACACATATATCTACCCGTGTAACTATTACTACAAGATCAAGATATAGAATGTTTCCATCATTCCCATACCCCCTTGCAGTCAGTTCCCACAGCTCCAGCCCACTGATTTGTGTTCTGCACTGTAGATTAGTTATCCTTGTCATGTAAATGGAGTCATATGGTATATATTTTTTTTGTGTCTGGTTTCCTTCTCTGAACATGAGGTTTTTGAGATTCATTCATGTTATTGCTCAGTCTGATATACTGATAATGATCCTTGGACTTGGGGCCCAAAAGAAATAGGTTCATGACAAAGTTAAGGACAGGAAGGTAATTTTTGTTTATTTAAAAATATGTGCAGGCCGGGCGCGGTGGCTCAAGCCTGTAATCCCAGCACTTTGGGAGGCCGAGACGGGCGGATCACGAGGTCAGGAGATCGAGACCATC